CAGAAATTAGATTATATTTTGGCCAACATTCGGCACTTTAAAAAAGTGACGAATTGGATTATTTCGACTAGTGTATATCACCAGTTCGGATGCGCCTACTAAATCTCAAGTTCCCAATGAATCTGCCCCCAAAAAATTGATATCAAGGTAGAGGTGATACCACCTAATTCTCAACCCAATAGTCCAACTTATGACCGCACTTATTTTCGTAACAAAACATTGAATCAATATCTTACTTTATTTAGAGAATTTAGTAGCGAAAATTTTGATTATTATGGAATTACTAACAAGACATTATGCCCATTATGCGATTTAGGCTATGATGATGATGAAAGCACAGAAGGTAGATATAAAGCTGGATCTTATTTTATTAAATGTGAACAGCGTGAAATTGAGATAGTTGCATAGTCTCATTGCTTTACAATAGTCTGGGTAACTCTTTGGGGTGATAATTTATCTGGGAATTTTAATCTTTTTTTCGAATGAATAGGTCTATATGAGAAAAAGGGATTTAAATTGACTTGCAATCATATAAAATTAAGATATGTCCAAGATTGATAAGATACTAACCTCCAAATATCTGGATTGACATGCCAAATTAAGTGGGTTACCAAGCATTTTGACGGATAAGATTCAGTCCAGCTTATACAAAAAATATAAAAAAGAAACTGGGCATAAGCCATGGCAACTATCAGAAGTACATGAATCGGAAGTCATAAATTCGATGCCAGAAAACAAAGTATTCTATTTATCTTTTTCTGAGCAATGTGAAGAAAAAGGGCCTATCACCTTCAAAGCCAAACCTAATACAGTTATACCTCTTTATAGCGAATTTTTATATAACGAATTTTTTGGACAACTATATTAAATTTACCCTCGTTATAACGAACTAGCCAATCAAATTCTTTAAAAAATTCACTATAGCTCTATAGCGAAGTTGAAGTTCAGGACATAAAATTCGTTATATCAAGGGTTGACTGTACAGAGTTAATTATCAAATCTGTGTTAGAGCATTTCACATACCTGAAATTCCGAAATAGTTTTAGGGGGATTGATAATTATAATTTTGCATCACCTCAACCGTGGAGCTCACCATGCCCTATTTGCGATGGAAAACATGGGAATTATGGATTACATGGCTCATGGTACTGCGAAAATGGGAATCAGTTCCCTTATGATCCTGAATTAGCGAAGTTGCTATCCCAAGATAAGTTGGAATATTGTCTTACCTGCAACACTTCAAGCAATAAACTCAAGTTCGCAATTTTAGCATAGAAGCTTTACTGTGTACTCTCGCGCTTGTATTTATTTTTTTTATGTAATAATAAAGTACTCTTCTCGCTTATCACCTGATATGTAAAAACTACAAAATCCCGAGACTGTGACGCGCGTCACGATCTCAAAGTTTAGCACTTTTTTTATATGAAGTATTGTATTACTGTAAGTCAGTTGCGTAACTAATTAACTGATGAGTCAGATCAATCTGTGCGACAATAGATTTTTCATATATATACTTGATATGCCCCTAAAAATTTTTTTTCCATTCGTACTACTCTTTCATTACTTTTTAAAGTTATGTCGTTTAACGTTGCAGGTTCCTCAACCAGAGTTCCATCTAATCTTCCTTTATCCGATCTTCCTCTTCCGACAGTCGAGGAAGTGAAAGGATTTAATGTCGAACAACTTAATGGATTTTTGAAAAGGAAGTTAAAAAACATTGATAGTCACATAGATACCTTGACAGCGCAAGAGGTCGACGGTGAAGCATTTCTCACTTTAACGCATGAAGGTCTTAAAGTTTCTGGGATACCTCTTGGAGCTTCAACAAAAATCATAAAGTTGCTTAATGACATTCAAGGAGGTAAGCGAACTTCAGTCTCGCTCACACCGTGTCATATTCGCCAATAATACCGAATATTTACATAATTTTGTGCTTTTCTTTCCTGCTTCTTATCAAACCCGCCCCAAAAACACATTCGCGTTATCGTAGAGCAACCTGGTGCTGGTAAGTGAGTCATAATATATTGGTCAACGTGAGTGAACGTACTTTTTTTTGCCGTTACCTTTTAACATGTGCATCACTATTTTCATTTTATTCAGAACAATATATCCAGGAAAATAAGTTTTTGAAATATGAGAATTTCCTTCTGAAGTTAGGAAATAAACAAAATTCTGCCTCTGTGTACAGATTTGTGAGAGAAGAAGGAGAATTTAAAGTTTGGGAAATCGAGGAGGATCCTAATATAATTCCACAAAAGGGAATTGGCCAAGATGTATTTAATAACCACCCTGAAGCTCCTGCTCAAGGATCAAGTGAAGTTAGTATAACCCAACGATTTTGTAAGAATGTTGTGAGTGAAATCAATGATAGCGTAAATTCGATGAAATCAGTTAATTTACGTGTATATAGAGATATTGGCGCCAGGGAGAAAGATCAAGTTTACGCTGATATAATAATTGGCTCTACCGAATTCCACAAAGAATTGACAGATAACCCACCTGATTTATCAAGGGGTTTGGGTTGGGAAGTCAAGAGTAATTTTAATGAAGGTTCAAAAGTAAGCGAAGGGAAAGGTCAACTAATAAAGTATGCCAGGTTATACCTTTCAGCGAGTCCACGTCTAACAAACGTTTTCTACGGATGTTTAACCGATGGGGAGATTTGGCAATTTGTTAAAATCCAGCTTATGTTGGATGATATTGATGAACTAAAAGTGATATTTGAGGAAAGTCTCACTTATGAATGGAGTGAGAAGACAGCCTCACTTATCGCCGGCATAATTGAGCGTTATCATGATGACCTGTCTATGAGAGCTTCCGGCGAAAAAAAAGAACCTCAAAATAATGATGAAACGTATATGTATAGGAATAAGTCATCAATTTCTACTGAAAGTCTTTTGGCTTCTTTCATCGAAGAGGGTATCTATATCAGATTACACTCTGAAAATCACATCCATGTGCAGATTATATCTCACCTTGAAAATGGAAGAAGGTGTATAGTTTTTTTGGCACAAGTACGTGATTATGGAATAAAGGATGCTGTTTTGAAGGTAAATTAATTCTCGAGAATAACTCATAATGCGTATAATATAAACTTACCATATCGATCATTTTTTTATTTGAAGATTGAAGTTCGCAAAGACAGTGA